TGACACTCACCGCCGCGAACCACGCCGCGTTCGGGTCGAGCGCGTGCGCGTGTGCGTGGGCATGCGCATGTTCAGAGACGACCACAGGCACGCTGTGTGCCGCGGCCGTCACCGTCTCGAGCACGTCGTGCACCACGCCCGACGGCAGCGCCGCGGCCGACTGCGAGAGCGCCTCCATGAGCAGCGCCCACGAGTGGACGCCGATGCCCAGCGCGCCGGCCGTGAGCAGCAGCGACACCGTCGTTGTGCCCAGCACCTCGAACTTGCCGAAGCCGTACGGGTAGCGCGCCGAGGGCGGCCGCCGCGACAGCTTCCAGCACGTCAGCGTGACGAAGTCGCCGAGCAGGTCTGGCGGGGGTCAGGCACGGAGGCACGGAGCAGGGCGCGGCGCGGACATACCGCTGAGGGAGTGCCCCGCGTCCGCGAGCAGCGACGCGGAGTTCATGTACCAGCCCGCGGCGCCCTTCGACACCGTCAGGCCGATGTTCGCGAACAGCCCGAGGAGCGTGATCCTGGTCCCGCGGTCTCTGAAGCCTGCATGCGAGCGCGTCAGCGGACGGTGCGCGCAGCGAGCGCATGCAGGACGTACACGGCTACGTACCTCCGCTCTGCAACGCCTCTACTATCTGCTCTGCGTGCCCCTCATCTGGCCCGTGTGTATGGCCCATGGAACTGAATATCGAATGTGAATGCGAGTGCGAGTGCGAGTGACCGGGCGTGCTGTGGTCGTGCGAGGCGGGCTCCTTCCCCTTCCCCTGAGGCTGGGTCGAGTGCGCACGGCGGGCCGTGAGGGCGTCCATAGTAGGCATAGTCGCTGGCGGTATCCGAGAACAGCCAGCAGTGAAGAACGTCCGGGTGCGCGTCCGGGCGGGGCAAGGTCCACGTCGCACCAGTCCCGGGGAGACCTGAAACAGCTTGACGGTGCCCGGCCTTGGCAGCAGGTTGCCGAGATGAGAGACAGCAGAGCGTTCGAGCATAGCACACGGCCGCGAGAATGATGACTAGCGCGGTACTTATGGCGCACGGGCAGCAGGAGAAGAGGGAGCGCCGCCCTCGCTCGAATCGACGGAGACATCGCTCGGGCGGGAGCAGGGAGCGCGGGTGTCGCGCGCGGCACACTCGATATCGCCTCTTTGAATGGCGTGATACATCCAATGATACATGTGAAAGGCACCGATCAGTCCGCTTCTGCGACCGCGTGACGGCGATCGAGGTAGCGCGTCGCACGTCGTCGAACGGCCAAGTCCCGCGGCCGCTGTGACCGTCGCAAGATCGCGAGTTGCCTCTCCCTCTTCTTTTGGTTCATTCAGTGACCCTCTCGTTTCCGAGGAACAGCCCTCTCCCTCTCGCTTTGGTTCATTCAGTGAGCCTCTCGCTTTGGTTCCTGCAGTGAGCCTCTCGCTTTGGTTCCTGCAGTGAGGGCGGCTCCTCGCCATGGCGCGAACAGCGGCCCTCTCCCTCGCGCGCTCTCTCCTCCGGTGCGCCTGATCTTCGCACGTCCCGTCTCGCAGTCTGACGCTGGCGCTCCAAGCACGCTCACCGGAGCTCATCTTCGTCGCTCCTGGACGCTTCAGGGTCTGCAAACGCAGCAAGACCGGTCGATCAAGCGCCAAGGTAACGCGGTATGAATGCGCCCGTCCGTCTCTCCTCGCCCGCCGTCGTCCCGCCACCAGCAGATGCCGTCTTGTGCGCGCCGCTCTCTCGTGCACGGATCCGTCTCTTCAGCCCGGTCAGCACACTTCGCATCAAGTCGCTGGTGTATCGCGCAGATGCACGCGCAGTTCCTGGCCTGCGCGGCGTGACCGAGTCCGGCGTCGCGCGTCCAGGTAAGGGTGTAGACCGCCGCGACGAATGCTGACCGGGACCGCAACGCCGCCCGCTGCCGCTGAGCGCGTCTGCCCCCGCGCCTGCAAACGCGGTCAGCACTCTGCACGCCACCACGTCCGGACGCCTGCACGCCGTGCCCGGTCAGCCAGCCGCCTTGAACCATCCCCGCGCTGCGATCCCTCGTACGTCGCGCTCTCAACAGCGTCCGCTCCATCTCGCATCCCGCTCATGCCTGAGCGACCCGCGTTGGTTCGCGCGCGCCGGTTACCGCACGTCGGCAGTCCACGCGACGCTTCGTTCTTCGCTGCCGCCGCGCCTGCAGGACCACCGCCCCACGGTCAGTACAACCACAAAAGGCTAAGCTTGCACTTACTATGGCACTTGTCACACAGCCCGCGTCTCAAAATCGCCGTGCCGGACGCCCGCACGCCGCGCCCGCTCAGCTGGCTGCCTCGATCCGTCTCCGCGCGATGATCACATGGACGCTGCGCTCCCGACGGCGCCCGCTCCATCTTGCATCGCGCTCATGCATGACCCACACAGCGACCCGTGCTGGTTCGCGCGCGCCGGTTACCGCACGTCGGTCGTCCACGCGACACTTCATTTGTCGCCGCCGCCGCCTGCAAGACCGCTCCTCGACGATCAACACAACCACAACAAGGTAACCATGAGCTTACTGTTGCGATACAACACCCTCCGCCCAGCCCGCGTCCGATCCGGTGGAAAGCGTAGCCACGCCGCCCGACGCTCTTGCGTCCAACCGTTGCGCTGATGACCAGCACCGCCGGTCACTCTAGCGGCCCGCGTCTCCTGTGCCTCTCGATGGTGCTCCCGGCTAACGTCCGGCGAGCGCGCCCGGTCCATCGTCTTGACGGCCGGCCAGGGTAAGCTAAACGAAACTTAGTATCTATTCAGCCGTACTATGCGGAATTCCAGCTCACCTCGCCGAATGCCATACGGTCGACGCGCTGCGTGCCGTCCGCTCTGGTCACACACCGCCCAGTTACCGCCTTCGATGCGCGGCCAGTCGTCAGTGCGCCGGACAGCGAGTGGCACCATGTTGCCGCAGGGAAAGTCGCACACGTCTCTGCCTGCCGCTGTATGCACCGCGCACCCCGTCAACCAACGGCTGCAGATCGAGCGCGTCGGTTCATTCACGCAATCCGCGTGCGCGTACCGACCGCGCCAGTTCTCGTTCAGTGTCATACCATCTGAAATTCGCAATGCATCCTCGTCGCTGTCAGCCGCTTTGACATCTGCAAACACAGCGCGCGCTGGTGCCGAGTGTTTGACCGAGAGGAAGCGCACAGGGACGACAGCGGGCCGAGCGGAAAGGTTAAGCGGTGTGAATCCAGAGCTGCAATTGTCTTAAACAGAGCCTGTCAGTGCCGCAGATGGCAAACCAAGACGTGGAGAACTCACCGTGCACTCATCTCCCCACCACGCGCCATTCGCAAACAGGAAGCCGGGCACTTTGCACACCCAGGTACGCGTACGCCGTCGTCAGAGCATTTGCGCCACCTTCAATTCGTGACCGGATACAACTTCCTGTGAGTGCTATGAACAACGCAAATACTGCAGCAAAGTGACAGACTCACGCAGAAGCCTGTGGTGGTCCCACCAATGTCCCGCCGACATATTGAACGTGCTGTCACCAATGTGGACGCTGCAGCGGTCACTGACTGCTGTTCCCCGGTTGGTCGCAATCATGTACCCAACGCGATCTACATCCCATCTGTGATCTGCGTGCGATGGATCTGACGGCATCAGGGTCGTCAACTTGGAAGGACCCCGGTCATGCATAGCACAGTCGATAGTCAGTGACCCCGCAGAGGCCAGTCAGGATCTCACTGGGGACGGCATGATATCCTGCATAGATGTAGTGACAGACATGGTTGGGAATGAAATAGCGGAATGGAAGAGAACAGGATGGAATTCAAGACGAGTGAGGAATTGGGAGGGGAAAAGTAATGCAAGCTGCAGGAAAGTCGGAAACAAATGACATAATGCACACATATATATGAGCGGTCGGTCAGAGCCGCGGCCAGACTATAATTGATGGTAAGCGAATGGCGTGGGAAGTACGTGTTCCCGCCATCATTCTGATATCAAGATCATTTCCGGGTGAAGATGTGATACACAAATGATGCCCGTCAAGATATCGGAATTGCTTCCATAGCTATGCAACGGACTCGGAGATCCGTTTGCAACCGCCAAGCAGGAAGTTTACATTAGACTGACTAATGTGTTGTGACTACAAGGTGCTGTACTAGGAGTGGTGCTACATGATTTCATGCCTGAGTTGCAGTGGACGACAAGCAGGAGGCTCTTTGGCTGGTAGATGTGGATGGTGCGTACATTGGCACCTCCCCGCTGTGCGCGCGTGCATGCGGGAAACGTGCAGGACATTGGGCAGTGAGTCTTTTCCTCCCGAGAGTGACCCCGGCCGTGCGCCGCATTGTGCGTGCACACCGCACGTGTTTTGCCATCAGTGGATTATCCGCGCTGGGATACACTGTCGCAATGCATGAGAAGCTCTGACGAGCGCCCGGCAGAGATGTATGGACGCAGGCTTCGCATTCCAGTTTGTGTTTCGACTCCTGCTGCCGCTGATAGCCATGCACGATCTTGTTCGCTCGCTTGCGTGTATACTTGCAGCGCAGGGGCGTATTTTGTACTTCCTCAGTGGAGGCTGCATGCCTATGGTGACCGGGATCATAGAATTCGGGCAAGCTTGTAAGCCCGCCCCCGCCCCCGCAGGGCAGACAGCACAAATGGTGTGACATGCAGAGTGCGTATCTACTAAGCAGACCACATCACACTGTAGCGTCGCCCGGGACAGGGCCGCATGTGGACCCCCGGACATGCAGTGGCCAAGGCCAGGGGGCGGGACCGTCTGCTGACACTTGCGGAGTCAATCACGCACTAACAACGGGCAGGCACAACATCCTGTTGGCAGAGGCACAAGTCTCGCCCTGTGCATTGAAGATCTCCCAGGCGCAGTGCCGGCCCTGCGGGTGGATTGCCAGGCGCACAACTGCCCGCATCACGCATACGAAATGCAGGACAGGATGTGGACGCAGACATTGGCTTGCATGCACATCCTGCCATCGGCGGATTCTCCGTGCAGGGATGCATGTCTGGTGTGGTGGTGGACGGTGTTGTGGCAACACGCGAAGCCCGTGCGAGCGCCCCGGCAGAGATGCGCGTAGCTCGGGTGTTGCGGGAGGCAACGCAAGCGGTGCCGTGACGTACGCGATGGGGCTGGGTGCCGTGACGTGGGGAAGGAGTGTCCGTGCGTGGGTTTGCAAAGCAGGAAGGGGGTAGCGAGAGGGATATAAGGAGAGCCGGATATGACAGAGGGTGTCCGTCGTCTCCTGGTCATGAATCTTATTGTTATCTGTCTTCGTGGTTCAGCTCGCGTTTGCCTACAGAACCCATGACCATTGTCTGTACTGACCTTTATGTGTGTTGCAGATATGTTGGCCCACGCTGGCGCTGCAATGGTGAGTGTGTTTGCAGGTCGCTGTTGCTCTAGCTGTTGGTGTGCTTGCAGGTCACTGTTGCTCTAGCCGTTGGTGTGCTTACGGCGTGTCTGGGTTGGAACAGAATGCTACGTGGCCGCGGGTTTTGTAAAGGTATGGCGCACCTGCACCATATTTCGTCAGCTGTGCTGATGCGTGCGCAAGCAAGTAGCCGGAAGGCATGTCGGCGCGCTTACGGGATGCAGGCACGCTCTTCGGCCGAGTCGCGTATGGAAGGTGGGTTCAGGAAGATGGTGCAGTTGCGCGAGCTCGGGGCAGTGGAGTACGAGACCTTGACGTAAGGAAACAATGATTTGGACATGCATGCGCGACTGCAGCAACAATGTGAGCGGATGACCGGTTTGCAGGCCGGCAGAGGTCTTGATAAGGCGCGAACGTCCGCACCGCTAGCTGGCGAGGTGGGGTGAACGCAGTGTCCGCGTTAGCATAACCACTGCGTGAGAGGCATGTGAGCGTCTGCATGTCATTTAGCAATAGCGGATGCACCGCATACCTGCTGTTTGCACACATGCGTGACCGGGCCTGATCACGCAACCTGCAAGGTGCGCTCGCGAGCCACACCTCGGTGACGCAGTCGGCAGACGCAGTGTTCACGGCGGAAGGAAGCTTCGAGAGCGCGCGATCGCGACGCAAGAGCAAGAACGGGACGCGCGAGCGTCCACAGTGCGCGGGAGCCAGCCGCGATGCAGCGTGAGCATGGCTGCATGTGCGAGGGACCAGACAAGAGAGCGACTGGGCACCAGTGAGAGCCAGCGCGGCGTGAGACGAGACACATCCCGGAACGTCGTCGGGCGTAGCGTGAAGCGCAGACTGCCGTCTACCCGTCATCCTGCGAGTCGAAACGGCAGTGCACCGCATGAGCTGAGCGCGTCAACATGCGCGCGTGTGCAATGCGAGGGGAAGCGGGAGCCCTACTGACCGCTTGATCAGCACGAACACGTCTGTCCACATCCGATGCACGTACCACCAACGGTGCCCTGGTGCGAGCCACGCGGCATATGTCTCCCCACTGTGCGCCGGGTTCGGGTACCGCAGCGTCATGGGCACGACGTCCCGCGCACAGTCGACGCTGCGGACATCGCACAGCGCGGGCCGCCAATCGCGCGCGCGGTGCCCGAAGGTTCAGGATTTGGAAGCGGCGCCGGGGCCGGAGGTTCCTGCAGCAAACTTTAGCATGCAAGCTCAAAATCCAGGGGAATATCATTACAACAGTAATACAGTTTAGTGGTGGTCCTGATCGTGGACCTCATGCCGATGCACGATCTCTTCGTCTACCGGGCGGAACTTTACCCGCACCTCCGCCACCTCCTTCCTCGCACCCTTCAAAGCCCGCGAAATCTTGCCCTCCAGATCGCTCGCCTCTTCGATGCTCAGTGTCCGCGGCACCTCGGCAATGAGATCAACGAACATCAGCGCGCCAGCACGCATTGCGCGCAGGTCGCGGATCGCACGCAGGTTCTCGGTATGATTCTCGACCTGCGCACGGGAAGGCGTATGTGAACGTGCGGCCGCAGAGTCTGATGAAGGGAGTAGTGGATCCAGAGCTTTCGCGAGGATCGCTCTCGTCCGAGGCGACACGCTTCCATCTGTCAGCTGGTGCAGCGCACCAGCCAAAATACCCCAGCCCTGCTTGATGATGAGTATCGAGACGATGATGCCTAGAACAGCCGCTGTCAGCGTCGACGTCGCGCAGCGGTCGTAATATCTCACCTCCAATGGGATCGAGTGGCAGGTGGGGGAACCACCATGTGCCCAGGATGGCCAGCAGCGCAACGAGGCTCGAGTACGCGTCGCTCCGGTGGTGTATCGCATTTGCGAACAGCACCGGGCTGCGCTCCTCGTCCGCAACGCGCTTCGTCACCCGGTACAGCCACTCCTTCCCTATGACACTCACCGCCGCGAACCACGCCGCGTTCGGGTCGAGCGCGTGCGCGTGTGCGTGGGCATGCGCATGTTCAGAGACGACCACAGGCACGCTGTGTGCCGCGGCCGTCACCGTCTCGAGCACGTCGTGCACCACGCCCGACGGCAGCGCCGCGGCCGACTGCGAGAGCGCCTCCATGAGCAGCGCCCACGAGTGGACGCCGATGCCCAGCGCGCCGGCCGTGAGCAGCAGCGACACCGTCGTTGTGCCCAGCACCTCGAACTTGCCGAAGCCGTACGGGTAGCGCGCCGAGGGCGGCCGCCGCGACAGCTTCCAGCACGTCAGCGTGACGAAGTCGCCGAGCAGGTCTGGCGGGGGTCAGGCACGGAGGCACGGAGCAGGGCGCGGCGCGGACATACC